GATCCAAATCCGGGATACAGTATATTTTATATATACAGTTTCAAAAACCCGCGAAGTCGTGAATCAGTGAAAGATGAACCACGAAATAGCGAGGGACTACTGTAAATGTGCTGCAATGCTGCCATCTAGTGACTTTCACTTTCATCCACAGCCGTTTTTCCCCAAAACTATTTTTAAGGGCACATATCACAATATGTATTTTTAGTAGTGGGGCAGAGGCCAGTTTGACTGTGTAAATGTGCTCCTGTGTCTGCACTGAGACAGCAAAGGTAGCTCAGCTTCCTCTAAAATGTTAAGACAAATTGTCAAATATTACTGTGGTGTGTTGAGCAGGCACCAAAGCTCCTCTGCCCTCCTGGGTGCATCCTCAAAGTGCAGCCCAAAAAGAGTAAGCTTCTTTTTACAAAATTTCAAGAAGATTGACCAAGGAAGAGAATGTAAAAGAAATGTGAAGACAGTTTACGCTTGAGACCCCTTATCTTTACTCAAAGGAAAAGGTAGTGAAGTGGAGGAGAGGAAGGTGTAGACATAAAAGAGAGTCTTCTTGCACTCTAGACTTACCATATTTTCTGGACTATAAGTCACACTTTTTTCAGCCTTTGGCTGGGTTTGCGACTTATAATCAGGTGCGACTTATATATAAAATATATAATTTCACGTTTGTTATTTTCACACTGACAGCCGCTAGAGGGCACTCTGGGCCAGTGTACCAGTATCTGATACTCTTGTACCACTGAAAATTTACATGTTACTGTTTACATGTTATTTTCATATTGACAGCCGGCTGGTGCGACTTATACTCCGGATGGACTTATAGTCGGGTAAATACGATAAGTTAGCTGTGACACAATGAAGAATGGGTATTACGCATTAAGAAAGGTTTGCAATAAAAAGTTAAAAATTCTTGATGCAAATTATTGGCACACTGAGCACACTTTTTTGGAAGCCCATTTCAAGCACATTATTTTTGTGTGTATATGCTCAGCTCTGAAGCGAAGGAATCAACCACATGAAATCATTAAAAAAAAATTTAAAAAAGATGTTCAGAGGTTCAGACTCACATGCACACACTCCAACCTCAAATCGTGGCCGGTCTGCTGAGAAGTCACAAAACATGCCCTTGTGCGGGTCACAGACGTCCCTCTCGTTGCACGACTCTCCAATCTGCCTAGCACAGGTTTTGCAGCAGCCGCAGCCGTCCAGCACAGCGCTAACCCCTGGAGAACAATACGGTCTCTGTCGACACTTGCAGGGCCACTGGCAGAACTGACGCCTCTCTGCCGCAGATAGTCCTGCTTGCGAGGTCTGCAGCTGCCCATTCTTTTGAGCACTGATGCAACCCTGGATGAAAAGACAAGAATAATGAGTGAGATTCAATCAATCAATTAATCAATCCATCCATCTGTCCATCTATCTATCTATCTATCTATCTATCTATCTATCTATCTATCTATCTATCTATCTATCTATCTATCTATCTATCTATCTATCTATCTATCTATCTATC